AACAATTTATTGATTGATTGCTTAATTGATAACGTGTTGATTATGCTAATTTATGAGCGGCCAACCTCTTATCTTGACGGGGCCTCGTGGGTGGCCGCTTAATCGGGGTTCAACTGTATAAAATGAGTTTTCAGGTTGTAAAGGTGCGAAGATCAGCATACTTTGAACTTCCTTGGTTTGTTGATCTTACGCAAAGAAAAGTGATTCGACTAAATACTATTGGCTGTAAGCTCGTATATGACAACAAGCCTTTCTTTCGTTCTGCCTGTAACTGAATGAGTGAAGGTCAGCAATAAAACGACAAGTTCCTGAACGAAGTAAGGATCCACTTGATTTAAAGATCCCGGTTAGTAGCAGGGCACCTCTCGCTCAACCATGAAGCTTAATTCCCCAATAAAATTCCCTGTTACATTACCATATTAGCCAGGGGCGTAGCCAGACTATAAACCTGTAGGTCCAGGCCTACAAATTTTTGGTTTGATCACTCTACCTCTTGTTATAAATTATGCCTTTTGGGGGTGAGCTAACAAGCATAAGAGTTCAAAGTGTTGGTGAGGACCATGCAGGCCTACAACTAGTCGAAAAGCTAGCTAAACCCCTGTTAGCTCCAAAAATCCAACCTGGCGGGGAAAGAGGGGTTTCACGGCGTGCGAGTGTCACGTTTTTGTCGCTTGTACCTGTGCCGTTCCGGTTTAGACTGTATTCACACTGACAACCAAGACAAAAGATGCGGAGCGAAAACTAAGGGAAGAACAGACAGGAAAGCGTTATAAAGTCCCATAAAACGCACTTTTGATGCTTTTAGATGCCGGTTATCACGGGCTCTATTGCATTTTCCTGTCCATACATAAACTGTTTACAGGAGCCATTACGACACCAGAAGGAGGATCATGAGGCGAAGCTCTCGATAATATTTATAGTTTGCTCAAACAAAATATATAATCGTGTAATGCTAAGAGACGAAGGAGACACTTTTTTTGTACATTCTGTACATCTCTTTGCCATTGTTTTGCACGACTACAACGTAAAGGCGATGTTACACGAGACGATTCGCAACGACGATTTTTGGCGCAACACAGCGTCGCAACATTGTTGCGACATTGTTTCGAATGGTTACAACATTGTTCCAGCATTGCAACGCTGTTGCGCTCAAAATCGTTCAGTGCGAGACTGCGAGTCGTCCCGTGTAACATCACCTTAAAACTTCCAGAAACTTACTGGTTACACGTTTTATGGAGGAAATGTCGTGCGTGTTCTTGTTCATTTTTTTTTTCACCGCCTCTGATTTTCACCTTGGTGGCCGCTAGCATTTCTTATTTTCCCACCGCTGCTAGAAAATTTTCATGCTGTTCTTCCAGGAAAAAAATCTCTCCTTTGTCTTTTATCTCTCGCTCTTTTTCTCGTTGAGCTTCGCTGGCCTGTCGCCTACTTTCTCTTTTTCTCTGTCTCTCTCTTTCTCTGTATTCCAAATCTGTGCACATGACAATTACTCTAAGCTTAATACTTTAGACAACACGGTTACAGAAACAATTTCCGCTCTCCGCCTTACCCAGGAAAGGTTTGCCACGCCACGAGGGTCTGGGTTGTTTGACGTAACAAGAACCAGATAAGTGAACGTACTGTGAGACGGGACTCAAGGTTTTTCGTCCTTATCCGAAAAGACTAGAAAGTCTATCCATTTGCAGATGTCATTACAAAGGCAGCACCTTCTTCTCGGTTATTTAAAGACCCTGAGTGTTGGTCCGGCCAGGGTCTGAATCCCCGACCTCCCGCTCAGCAGACCGGTAATATGCCATACGAGCTAAGCCACGCGGCGGTAAAGAAGGCAAAGATTTAAAAACAAATCGAGAGAAAATTGTTATTTCTTCCATTTTTAATGCGGGTTGACAAAGAATTATCTCACAGTCGCGATTCCTAACTTGTTAAAATATCAACAAGTAAATAACCTTTCAAGGATTCTTGGGGGAAATCCGACCATTGACTATTCCACACATGAAAGCGACAAAACATCTTTCTAAGCTGCACGAGATTTACAACAATTATGTGGCACCAAACTCTTTCATCCAATCTTCGTATTTCTTAATGTCAGCATCAGAAACAGACTTGGAAACTTTCTTCAGTGCGAGATCGAAGTCTTCCATGTTAACAGGCAAATCAAGTTCCTCTTTTGGCAAGTTCTTGATCTGCTCTGGCGTCAAGCCCCTGATTCGACGCCTCATTGCCATCATAGAGGCGTCCCTACACCGGAAAGGATAAAGAATACAGTAATTAAGCTGTTTATAATTTTTCGTGGGATAGAAATTTCGCTTTTTCACCATCTTCATCTTATTAGGTTTGTCAAACCTGGATCAAACGGTCAACCTGTATTAAGCGGTCAGTAAGCCACTGCCCAAGGGTAACTGCTTCAGTTAATACAGGTTTGACAATATCACCATGAATACGGGGTTGAGCTCAAAGCCCCCTTAAATTTGCGCATTTTGCAAATCAACATGGAAAATGGCGCGATAAGCGAGACACCAAAACTCTTGCGCGACATGGAATTCGAATTCACGGATCATTGCTCAAATTGCTTCTTCAACACGAACCTGCAAACATTGGTGATATCAGCACCACTGTAGCCTTCCATCTTTTTCGCGATCTCCTCGAGAACCACATCTTCAGCCATGTTCACACCACGCAAGTTGATCTTTAGCAACTCCAGACGACCTACAGCTACGAAAAAAGAAACAGAAAAAACTGTTTGTAAGTATCATTTCGCGAGTGAAAAGTGTACGCAATGCAATAAAATGAAATGTGCGTGAGAAAGGTATGCCAGCGAAAAGATGAACATGTATTCCTGGGAATAGTTGCATGGCAAAGATTGCAGCATGTCTTCAAAGAAAAGAAAGTTATCTGTAACCTTGAGGTAATTTTCTGATTTTTCTCATGAGGAGTTTAGTACTTTTTTGCATAAATAAATCTTAACTATCTAACTTCCTGGAAAGAAAAAGAGGGGGAGGCCAAGACAGAAAAGGAGGATTTCGTCTACACGGAGAAAGTAACGACGATCGCAGAAAAAAGACTAATGTATAGTGCTGCTCTAAGAGAGAGGGGAAAAAATTCACACTCAACCGAGTTGTCTTCTACCGAACTTGAAGTTAGTTCCCGCTTTCATGTTTATGTCAAAAAGTACCTGGACTGTTTATTGTCTCCTATTTTGCCGTAAGAGATCAATCGCTTACATTAACAGGCGGCCATCTTGGTTTCAGATGTAGTTGTCATAGAGTATCTACCTAAGGAGAGGGGGAGTGGAACCGAGACGAACCCTTGTTACAGCGAGCGCTTGATCACGGCGATCTTACGGAGAATAAGGAATTGAAGGAACAGGAAAAAAAAAAATGAAATTTAATGCAGGCGAAGGAGATGAGCTGCTTTACGCAGGCTGCATCGTACTTTCCGGAAGAGGTATGTAGACTCTCTTTTCCAGTCTTCTGCGCAGGGCTTCATCCAGATCCCAAGGAAAGTTTGTGGCAGCTAAAACCATAACAAGTTGTGGTCCACCCTCCACTGTACCACCAACACCTAAACAACACAAACAAAAGACACCGAAAACATGTAGTTAATATTGTTCAATGTTGGTAGCATGCGAGCAAACTCCATTTAGGGGAGTCGCAAGAACCCGCAGCCTATATAGTTGGCGCACTTTTCTGATGTTTATTGCACCCCTTGAAATGCACAGTATACACATGTCCAACACCCAACCTTAAACAACGTAAACTAATAGTGAGAGCTTGTTTTCAAAGGCGAAGTCAATTGAGGGTTGGTTTAAACAGTAATGTCAAGAAAGTGCAACGGCTAGGCAGCCCCTTCTGAAGTCTTTGTTATATGTCTTTGTTAGCTTCTTTAAACTTCACCGTGGAAAACGTTTAATAGCATTCCTTTTATTTTGAACTGTAATTATTCAGGACCAAAATCTGTAAACAAAACTGAAGATGATTTTGCGCGGTCAGGAAACTCATAACAACAGCTGCAGCGTTGTAGTTTTCAAAACGTTTAACGTTACTGTTTGTTTAACGAGCACGCAGCTTATTCCCAGCTGAAGAAAGAGTGCTGAAAAGCACTTTTCTGTAACTTAATAGAGCAGCATAAACTGGTTGCCGACAGAAGAATCGAACGATGCGTTTAATACATGGGTATTCTTTGGCGGCAAAACGTCCAGTCCATATTTTTTTCTTTTTTAACTATTAACGAACATTTGTGAAAACCATTTTGCTGACAAAGCTCCTTTTAGGAGGTGATGGTTTGGAATGCCTAACCAGTTTTGCCTACACTCACCATCCATCTGTATAAGTAGCTCAGATTTAACCCTTCTGCTAGCTTCATGTTCACTGTCAGAACCTCTCTTGCTGCAGATAGAGTCGATCTCGTCTATGAAAATTGTACTCGGAGCATAAAATCGAGCCTGTGAAAAAAATTACACCAAAATATCCCATTCTTAACCATATCCCAGCAAGACAACCCATTTACTCCTATCGGCATGGAATGCAATGGCCACAGTAAAAACCTGCGACTAAGAACCTAGTTTTTAAGAACCTGTTAGGCTAAAATTTGCCAGTAAGGCCCCATCTATATTAGAACTTGTTTGGCCTAAAATTTGAAAAAGGTTCTTATTTTCCAAAACCATTTGTTTTTGGAGACAAAGGTGCCTTATCACTCCAGCTGTGATTGTAACCACGTACAATGAGGTTTTACCTAAGAAATGAGCTGAATACCACTAAATACTCTTAGCTACAAATGTATGTCTATCTTCAGAAAAGAACCTAAATGGCCTAACTTTGTGCCAAATACCATTTTTTATGTAAGAACCTGTTTAGGCTAACTTGAGAACATACAGGTTGTTAGTCACAGATTTTAACTGTACTCCACTGCATCCCATGCCACATTTATCCAGCAGTATATTAATAAACAACAAATATACCAGGATTTTTCCACCTATGTAGAGGCAAAAAAAAAAAAAAAAA